AGACATCAAATAAGAACAATTAAGACAACAACAGACAACAATTAGTAGCATCAGTGTAATCATCAAGTTCAGGGTCTTCAATATATGTATTAACTGTATATATGTAAATAAATATTACTAAGTGCAGTTATTCGTGTTATTCACAAGTGAGGTAAATTATTTGCACTTACAATCCTTCCAAAAAATTCGTGTGCTCCCTCATAGGAGAAAGAAGTGGCGCGGCAGCGCAAAATAAACAAAACACCGTATACTTTTTTTTGGTATAGATAGTATTTATTTACCTCATGATATGTTGCAAAACCTAATTAATCACGAATTTCTAATTTTATGTACTCTTGTCTCCGATTGTACCTCCCAAACATCCTTAAGTGATGTGCTCTAGCGATAAGCTTTACGGTAACCGAAAAAAATTCCCCGGGAAAAAAGCCCCCAGAAAAAAATCTCCCGGAAAAAAACTCCCGGAAAAGAATTCCCCCTCGGAAAAATTAATACCCTTGATTTATTATAAGGTAAATGGTAATTTTTATTAGGAATATAACATGGTTCTGTTATCAGACAGGTTTTACATGTGTATGTTGACAGAATACACGATCTAGTATACTACATGTAAATAAAAAAATACTTATTTGTGTAATTATTTCAGAAAAGAAAATTGTTTTTTTCCTTAATCATTTAGTTTTCTAATAGTTTATATTTAATATTCATAAATATTGCCCCTGACAATGAAATAAACGTACAGAATGTTCGTAATACATTTTAATAGAAATAAGAGTAGGTCGAGTAGATAATTACCAACAACGTTATCATCTGTTGTTTTAAATTGTAATATTAGTAGAAAACAAACTTTTGTTTGTGAAGTATTGATATTCTTCGAGGTAATTAATAAATACTTCTTAGGAAGTCAACCCCCAACATAATATTATCGTTACAGATATAAGCAAAAATAAAACAAATTATAACATTATCATCATCAAGAAAGAATAATAACTTGAAGTTAAACCATATGATAACGTTTAGAATAAATTTTTGGCAATTTTTTCCAAAGGGGCGTTTTTTCTGGAAGCTTTTTTTTCAGGGATTTTTTCCGAGGCTATTTTTCCGGTGACCTTTTCTCCTAGATCCAGGTTTTACCTACAGAAACTTATAATACAAGACTAAATAAGTAATAAGAAGGAATTAAGGTCTGGGCCTTTAATTTATCAAAACTACAGACGTGGATCCCAATTTCGGTCTTATTTGATCTCATCAGTACCGATGAAGCCGAAAAATGCTCCATAAAAACATGTTTATTTTTATATATTGTCGACAGGTACACTGATATTTAACTTTTTACTGAAATATACACAAGGAGAAAATGAAAAAGGAAAATTTACTTAAATATTAAGGGGATATTTACAATTTATCCCACTAAAATAAAATCCCAGCAGAAATAAATTTACTAGGTATTTTAGTTGATATTACAAATTAAATTGTAATAATTAAGAAACTTGAAATAATTTTTAAAAAAGCATGTCAAAATTGAGATTATTACAAGTTACCTAATAAATTCTACTATTTCTACGGCAAATTCAGTCATT